TGAGTTTCTCGTATTTTTTAAGATTTGTCCCTTAAGCCGCGTCACGTTTCTCGTATTCTTCATTTGCTGCCAGCGTTTTCGACAGACTGCGTGGGTGGCACGTCGTCTCCCTTGGAACGCTCGAGCAGACAAAAAAAGGAACCGACTTGTTCAATCGTATTTTTTGTCGATCGACAAAAGTGTATCTTGTTAGTTCGTAAAGACCCGAACGGTAGCACGGTAGTACGATTGTTTGTTAATCCTTGCGATGCAAAGCCTTTCTTTGTTATATGGACTACCATATGGTAGGGCTACTTTGTACCCACTTAATAGAAATCTATAGTGTCCGCAATAACTTTACAGGAACACTACGTTTAGAATATATCTGAGAATGAAAGGTTTAGAGTAAAGCAGTCCGTTATAAAGTTTGAGGTGAATTAGCGATGAAGCGCAAATAGTTTATTTATCATTTGTTACCTCATTCGACGATGCGTAAATTGTTGCGTAATGAGTCCAGTGTTAATAGTTGGTACACTTGAGAACATAAATATTTCATTCGCTGTTAAATAATGGGTACAATATGTAAATCAGTTAATTAAATTTTATGTTTCTGATAACTGCGATAGCAGACCTATCAGGGGAAATGGTAACCAACTCGTTCTCATTATAATTAATGGTGATCTAGAATGAATACGTGTAATCGTTCTTGGTATTCGTACGTCTCTGTTACTTACCGTATGACGGTTGGTGTCTCACTGTTAGGATTAATTCGTTATCCCCGGAGGAGACACAAATCCTCGGGATCTTGATCACATTTTCGACTTCCCTATTTGGAACGTACGATTAGACGAGCCGGTATGTGGTTCGGAGTCGTTTATGGATCGACTTCTCTTTACACTTGAATGTTTATTCTTTAGATGTCTTAATTGATGATTGCATATGCGCATTAAATTTTACAAAAAAGAAAATCAAAATATAGTTTATAGGTATACTGAGTTATACGTTATATTTATAGAAACTCATCATTTACTCATTCTTCAAGTGTCTTCCTAGTTTAGAATCTCCGAGAAATTCTCTCATAAAAATTGTAGTTCGTTTTCACAATTGAAATCCACCATCTCAATGCCAACTATCTTTAATTCTCAGAAACTGTTGTGTTCGAATCGATTGGAAGCAACCCTATCGGAGGGTGGGCCAGCCAGGCCAGCTGACCTAGATAGGGGTCCCAAAATTGTACAATATAGATAATTAACATTTTCGACGCTCTTAGGATCAATTCATGACTTAGTAATAATAAGTAATACACAATAATGTTTGTTTACAAAGAGGATGTATCGATGACGCTCATCTGCCAACAGTTTCAAATTAATCGATAGTTTATTAATAGAAAATTAGTTTGAACAGATTAACCGTTCAAACAATTAATCCCATAACTTGTTTATTGCAAAAGAAGACAAAAATATATTTTATCAGTGTAATAAATCTCATTGGATTTTGTATGCATTGACCATTGACCATTGACCATTTCAAGTCTTATCATATTGTGCAAAGTAATTCATATAGATTCGTAAGAATGAATTTTCCGCATTCCCGTGCGGTACAAGTAGTTTAATATGTTGTTGACACTGTTTTTCTGTGCGGCTCGGGTTTTATTTTCTTTTAAATCGCACGCCTCGAAGAGTCGATCTCCGGGGTCCCCTCGATCGGGTATAAAATCGTTTAAACTATAGATACGAATTTCCGTTAGTCTGGAAAGCTACTTGTAACGTCAAAATCGCGAAGAAGCGCACGATTCGCGCAGAATATGCATCATTGTATCTTTTAACGAGTTCCAAGGCCAGGTGTCGTTCGACAGTCGCGCGGTCGCCGTCTTGGCACGCTTCCTGCGTCGCGAGCCGCATAATTAGGCGTCAACAAAATGTCTGACATTCCCGGATACGAAAGAAGAATCATGGACACCGTGCCTCGAGATGCCGAATGAGCTTATTCTTAATTAATACAACCCGATCGGGCCTTGACCCCCCCGCGTGTCGTCCTCCCTCGCTTTGTCTATGTCCCGAGAGCGTTCAACACCGACAAACAGCGCCGAGAAGCTGGTTGTAAATTCGTGCGGATAACAATTTCCTCGACGCGGCTTGCTAGTCAGAAGGTGGCTCTTAACGAGCGGCACAAAACACGCAGCTGCGTTACATAATTACTGCACCAGGAGGATAGATTAATAGTCATAACCGAATGTTACGCAACAATATACGCGGAGCGTTCCCGGTTAGGTTCAGCGGAGTCGGATAATTAATTTAAACATCCAGGCCGAACTGTAAATTTCGTAACTCGACCACGTGCCTGTCCCCCCTGTTACGGAAGAATTTCGACGCCTTTGATCGCGAGCCAATGAAAGAAATCGGGGGAAAGGTTGTGCAAGTCGGTGGTTCTAGTTCTCGAACTGAACACTTTTGGTGGCACGACAAATGACAAGGAAGGAAATTGGGTTGTATATTTGGCAATCGATATCGCTTTAATTAAACAACTTTTCCAAAGGGAGTTTAGGATTTTGTTTCTTAATTGGTAAATATGCCTGTCAGTGTAGTAATGGACACTTGAACATCGTATTTCACGTCTAATTTCTTGGTATCACGAGCTACACGTGGGGATAGTCAATTACCTCGAGAACAGAATATAGAAAACCCTAAAGAATATTCTTTCTCAAAAATTTCGACCGGATGTGGCAAATCAAATTTTATAAGCTGTTTGTATTCTTGGCTATTAAATGCGCAGAATGTCTGCTGGTAGTAGGTCACGATATCTAGAAGCAAAACAATCGATACATTTACCGAGGGATACTTCGTCGACGAAAACCAAGCAAAAATACTCAAAAGTGTTCGTTATGTTCTGAAAACAAAAAAAAAACAATACAGAAAAACTATTTGAAAATTTTCATACTGACATTGCCGAGTTTCATGCATACCTATGATAAGTACAACTGTATGTTTCTAGTTAAACGATGCAGGAGCAGACGCATTTACCAATAAAATTATTTTTCTATCGGAATAATTGTCCTTAAACAGTCTATTGGAATAATTGTCCTTAAAAAGTTTGAAGTCTGGTCAAATTGACTGGCTCGATAGTTTTAGTATTAAGGAGTTTGGTATTAAGGAGGACCCACATGATACTACGAATAAAGGCGATGTAAACAATGTCTATTAGGCTTTGTTTAGTCGCAGGGCTTACAAATGCTTTCCAGTTTTCATCTTCCTATATCCCTGAAACACATTTATTATTCAATATTGAAAGTTACTCAAAGGTAAACAGATCTAGATATTCTTCTTCGCGAAATAAACTACATGAAAGGGCGATGCACCCACCCACCCACGAATCCCGCAACTCGAGGACTTTCTGGCATGAGCACGTAGGCTCAGAGTCTCGGCGCAAGGTCTCGGAGGGTGTACGAAATTCCAGGACCTCCCGATAGTAGAAGGTCGTGCAAACGGTCGAGCATAGATTCGCGTAATTTGGAGAACATAATGCCGAAGCATAATGCCCGTGCCTCTCCCTCGCAACCTTTACCGTTTCGTCTCTTTTCTCGGCGTTCCTTTTTCTTCGGTTCCTCCGCCACGACGCGAACCCTTCTTCTCTTTCGCGTACACACGTGCGCATAAAACTTCGCCTGTACCTATCCCCCCCACCAGGCGTGGCCGAGAAGGGGACCCCTAAGAGAAATATTCGACAATTTTTAAACTCGTTTCTGAACGCATTCATACGCGCAGAGTCGGCAAGTAGGAATTTCTTCGAATCAACCGGGCCCTCGACAAGGGTACGCCGAACGAAGAACGTGGTTTCCGGCGAACGGGGGTGCGGGGGGCACGCTATACCATATATTCTCCTCCCGCTTACATATTTCGCGGCTACTCGCGAAATTCGTACTACTCGGAAGGATGAGGAGCACACGCTTATTAATGTTCTGAAGAAGGGAACGCGGAGTTTCATAGCGAGAGCCAATTAAAGACGCCAACTATACTCGCAAAAATTACAGCGTATTTACACGAAACATTAATAAATGAGCGTTGAAATTAAAATGTAGAATACTAATTGTCCTCGCAAATTGATAATGAAGATCACAATGAAATTTAACAAAACTACTTCAAAAGATCTGCAAATTTACAAAAACCATCCGATAGTACTTTATATTCTTTAAAGAATATCTGTACCTGAACGATACTTTATGTATCGGAATTTGTTTAAAAATCAATGGCTATCCTCTTTCAGCAACATTTCGTTATATTCCCGCGAGTATTGCGTGGTGTATCGAATTCACGATTCCTTTTTTTTTTTCACTACAGTCATTGTTTTCTCTGGAATTCTCCTTTTTGCTCCAACGCTCTCCTTATTTCTCTGTGCAACGCGGATAACCAGTTTTTCGGGTGTCCAAGAGCTCGCGGGTCGTCGAACGGACGCTCATAACTCTTGATATGTGCATCGGAAATTGTTCTAATGTGTCGTTGAACTGCATTAACGCCACTGCGGATAAAGCCGTTCAACGAGGCAAGCTTCTGCCAGTTCAACTACCTTAACTGCGGAGATCTTCCTTACCGACAGCCGTATTTAGCAGCGAACGATAATACTACCGACTGAGTTCAGTTGGAGAGACGCAAAATAGGAAATTATCACGTGCCGCTGAAATCAAAGATTATTTCCAGTTCTAACCTTATGATAATATTTAATATTCAGCATAATATACAGTTGAAAAATATTATATAATATTATTATTTCGGTATCACTTTTGATTTATAGACAAACATCTGTCTAAAATATATCGTTTCATTTTTGTTGTGTTTGTTTAATTAGCAGCAAACAAACAACAATCTTGGTAAAACCCAGTGGTACCTCTCGATTGTAAAGGAATAAAGTTTGAATCGCTAATGCCTTATATACAGTTTATCGAATTATTTGATTCATGTCGAATCAATCGTCAGCCGGCCAGTTCTGCGAACTAATTCTAACCTTCTCGTTCTGGTTTCTGATTTCAGCATTATTGAGACAAAGCATGTCTCCAGTTGCAGACACACTAATCGGCAGCTCGAAAAGCTCTGTGTCCCAGCCGATAATCGATTACTCTCGATATGTGAGGAGGTACTCATCGGGACAAGAATGTGGTAGCTCGTACTGTAAGGAACTTGGCTGCAGAGAGCATTTTCACTGTCTGGACTGCAGTGGTAGGGTGTTTGTGAAAAAGGAAGAGATGATCAGGCATTTCAAGTGGCACAAAAAGAGGGACGAATCTTTGCAGCACGGTTTCATGAGGTACTCGCCAACGGACGACTGCTCGGAAAGGCATCCGGGTCGTGCCTGTCCTCACAATAGGAAACAGACTCACTACCACTGTATACACGAGAATTGCGACAAGGTTTACATATCAACGTCAGACGTGCAGATGCACGCAAACTATCACCGTAAAGATTCCGCGATCATACAGGAAGGTTTCCAGAGATTTCGAGCCACCGAGAGCTGTGCTACCGAACACTGTCCTTTCGCTGGTCAACGGACCACGCACTTCCATTGTCGACGACCAGGTTGTCGATTCACCTTCAAGAACAAGGCTGACATGGGTAAATAAATGTTTACGTTTGCAACGCTCTACCCTTATGACTAAAAATTAGAAAGACTTGCTATAAATGCATAACCATTTGTAGTTTAGATTCGTAGATGACGTGTTGATATTATTAAAATTACTTGTGTTGTTACGGTGTTATAGTAGTGCAAAAAAAAAAAAAAAAAAAAAAAAAAAGACACATTTTTAATCGTATCTTTTACGATAAGCTTCAATTACTCTTTCCTTTTCACAGACAAACACAAATCCTACCACATCAAAGACGAACAGCTGTCCAGAGACGGATTCAAGAAGTTCATGAAATCAGAGGCGTGTCCCTTCGAGCAGTGTCGTTTCTCCCGTGTTTGCAACCATATCCACTGCATACGACCTCACTGCAGCTACGTCCTCCACTCTTCCGGTCAACTATTCTCCCATAAGCGGAAACACGAACGCCACGAGTCCGAGCTGGCTTACAGAAAATACAAGCAGATCAGCACAGTCGGTGGGATTCGACCATCCGGTTCCTGGCCGCCCGACGATCTCAGCACTCAAAGTCTTTCCTTGAGCTTAAACGGTGAAAGTTCGAACGAAGACAGGGGTTCGCCATCCTACTATTCTCTCGACGACTCTTTCCAAAGCGGAAGCGACCTCGCGATGGACCTCACCGCGCCAACGACCACCGTCACGGCCAGCGGAAGTTCCACGGTGACCGTTGAACAGCCACACCAACCGCAACAGCAAAGTCAACTTACCCCTACGGAACTTGCGTACCTGGTACCTGCCACCGCTGATTGTCCGTGTCATCTGGGCAGGGAGCATCATCATTGCGGCTTGGATCGTTGCGGGGCCGCGTTAAGGGACCCACGCGAAGTTAGGGAACATTTAAGAGAGCACGAGACTCAAGAACGCATCACAGACGCCTTTTTCGAGGAAGGAGGCTGCGACGATAATTGCCCGTACGCGGACAAGGAGAAGCATTACCACTGCAACTGGGAGAACTGTCGCGAAGTCATTCTTTCCACGGACAAGCCCTTCCGTCGCCTTCAGCACTACAAGATCCACGAGTACAGCAGGCAACTGAACCTCTCTTGCTCCTCTCATGCTCTGTCCTCGGACGTAACATTGACCCACCTGACGAACATCGACGCGATGTTCAGGCGGAAGAGGGGCAGACCTCCTAAGAATCGGGTAATCGAAATCTGGTCCGGCGGTGATCATGCCACGCACACTCACGACTCCCCACAGGCTATTTTCACCAGTTTCAAACTACCAAAACCTCAAACGCCTAGCTTGACGCCGAATCCTTTGACCGAGGAACGCGAAGGAAGCATCTCGCCTTCGAACAGCCTCGGCGAACCCGAGGGGTTCTCGACCTATAATCCCGACGGATGTCCCGATCTGGCTTGCGTTCTCAGGTCCACCAGACATCATCATTGTTTGCAACCAAGGTGTCACTTCTCCACGGACAAACCCGACCAGTTGCTGATGCACAGCAAAGACTTTCACGATAACGTCGACATACCGCCAGGCTTTGCCTTCTTCGACAAGATAGTGGATTGCCGGTTGCCCGGTTGTCACAGTAATCGCGTCAATCGGCATTTCCACTGTACCAGACCGAACTGCGGCTACTCGTTCGTCAGATACTCGACCATGGCTTTGCACGAGAGACAGCACAGCGGTCACAACGAAACCGGCAGCCACGAGTCGTCGTCCCACGAGTGCCAGACACCGGCGCAAGCAACGGTTCAAGAATCCAAACCGAGGATCCAGGTGAAAAATCCTGCCGAGCTCATAGAGAAGCCGGACGAAAGTTTGACCGGAGGGGATGGGGAGAACAGATCGATGATAGACGACAAGGAATCCGAGATTCCGAGTCCGGACGCCAACAAAACGACCGGTAAGTGCTGTTTGGCTAAGGACACGAACCAATGCACATGTATAGTATTGTTTTATAGATGAGTTTTGTTTGGTAGTTACTTGAAATGTCACGAGAAAGAGTCACCCGATCAATGCATGTTTTTTTTTTGCACGTACACGCACTTCAATGTATATTTGAACACCTCATATCAGCACTCCTCGACCCTTTCGATATTTTGATCGATTCATTCAACCGTACCGCTTATCGAAAGGATTAACCTACATCTCCACTACTCCCGTTTTACTCAAATTTTTTTTTTTTTTTTTTTTCCATACGTTTGTACAATTATTTTGTTCTTTCTGTCCGATGTATCTATTGTACAAGGTGGTTGTAATTATAGTGGGAGGTATATTTGAAGTGTTGGTTGTTTGGTTGATTGTTGCTAGTGGTGAGGGCGGCAGGCACCTATTATCCGGTCAGTGGACCGCCGAGTGAACCTGCACTTCCGGGCGTCGTGCTATCCATGCGAACTTCCGTGCATCAAGGTTCGTGTCTCTTTCGACGACAAATTTTGTTGGCTTGAAACGTGTTCTCTTAGTATTGTATCAGTATAATGTCGTCACGATTCACGTTTGTCGTTCGGGATTTCACGCTCGAACTTAGACCGATCATTTCGATTACAGAATCGCCGGTTCTCCCATCCACCAGTTCAGCCTCGCCGCATACTCTTTACGGGCCCGAGCAGAGCTGCGGCAGGCCCTTCTGCAAACTGAAGCGCAAAAACCACTATCACTGCAACCCGTGCAATCAAGCGTTCTCCGAACTGGATCGATTGGTGGCTCACATCCCGAAACACTCGACGGGTGTCATCCTCAGTCAGCAGCAACACGACTTGGCCAATCAGGTCCCCAGTCAACTGCAGCACGATTACTTGGCACAGCTGTCGCAGAAGCACGACTTCATGGCGCAGAACGCTCAGATGGCTCAGAACATTCAGAACTTCCAAAATCAAATGCAACGTCAGATGCAACAAACTCTGGGCCAGATGAGCCAGCAAACCCAGGTAAAAGAAGTGAAAATGGAACGTACATGGTGTGGGTCCGATGTTGGCATACAGAACGCCCCGAACGTGAAGAGGGAGCCCAGTGAAGTTTTGAAGGACGAAGGGAACAACTCTGTGATGGACAGCAACGAGAACGGACAGTTGTCGCAGCCGAGCTTACCGCCGAACGTGCAACAGTCTCCGGTTCCAACCAAATTCGAGCTCGACCTCAGTCACGGCTTTCATTTTCCTAGCCCAGCCGTGATGGCTGCCATGAATCAGCAGATCGCTTTAATGAATCAAGCTCTACCGCCTTTCCTTCAGCACGGTGGCATGTATACTGGTGGACCAGGTTTGATGTTCGCGCCTGGTCTACCCCCAGCGAATTTTCTACCTCCTACCAGGGATGAGAATCCCTTGGCTTCCTTAGCGGCAAACTTGAATTTGAACAAGAGGTCTCTGTCTCCCCCCGACAGCAATTCTCCCGAGGCGAAGAAGCAAAGGCTTCATCATTCGATGCGAATGCTCAAGGACGAACCTGTACCCGAAGGATACGTCAGGTTTGTATTCTATTCTATTCTTCGTTACGTTTCACGTTCATAGGGTTCTATGGCGTTGTCGTAATTCGCTTCCTCTACGGTTTCAGGTTCAGATTCAACGAAGACTGCAGATACACCCATTGCGGATACAGAGAGCATCAGACGCATTTCCACTGTATGCGTCAGGACTGCGGGTACTCGTTCTGCGACAAAACGCGTTTCGTGCAGCACACCGCGAGACACGAGCGACTGGACACCCTGATGGGTGGCGACTTCCAGCAGTACAGGGCCAATGTTCCGTGCGGCAGGGTTCAATGCGCCTATACTTCGTCACTGGGCTCGATGCAGAACAAAGCCTCGCACTTCCACTGTCTGAAATGCGACTTCGTTTGCACGGACACCAACAAGGTAGTGGCTCACCGTCGACAGCACGCCAAGTTGGACAGCATCGCAGCGGCGGGCTTCCAAAAGTTCACGCCCAGTCAACCCTGCGGAGGTGTTCAGTGTCAGCACTCTGGCAAACAGACTCACTATCACTGTCTACAGTGTCAGTACGCTGTGCTGGGCCTGGCGCAGATGTCGGCTCACAAGTATCGACACATGGACACATAACGACGCCAAGTGAAACGCAAAACGACCACTTGTTAGAGGAGGCTCAAGAAAGACACTTGTCCGGTCCCCGTAGACATTCCCTGACGAATCCGCGCCGCGCGTCCTCTCGCTTCGTAAATCGTAGCTGGCGGGAGAGTACGAGGAAGCAACGGGGGGGCTGGATCCAGCCGGTGAATTCGGATCCTGCTGGCGAAACCTAATCAAGGACTGAGGAAAAAAGACAATTTTCATACACGCTCCCTGTAGACATTCCCTGCAGTATCGCTCGCGATTGTCCATGCCCGATTCATGACGCTACGTTACACGGACGAGCTGAATGATTAGGAGCACCCCGACCGCGGCCTAGTCATTAATCTTCAGCCGTTCTCGTCGAGAAGGAATCGATAGCTTGTGTGGTGTCACGTTCAGGTCGAAGCGAACGATGTCGGTCGATGCGTCGAACGGAACCGTTCGATCAGCTCGATGACTTCGTACTTACGAGAGATATTTATTAACCGATCAACGGACGATCTCGACAGATCGAGGAACCGAAGGAAACCTCGCGATCCTTCGCGAATGTTTAAAACCGTTCGGATCCGAACGGAGTAGCGATCCAACGAAGATGAAAGGAAGGAACCTGACATAGAACTGTAGACAATAACACGGACGACGAGTCTATCGTATAGCTTTAGCGCGAAGAAAAAAGACACACTGTAATATTTAATAGAAAAAGACCTTGTATATTTCGTTTTTCGTTTCTCTTCATTTTTTCTTTTCTTTTTTCTCTCTCTTTTTTTTTTTTTTAGTATCGTTCGTGTACCCTCCGCGTGGTGCAAAGTAGTCGTCGCCGCGACTTAGGTCCTAGAATAGATAGTTAATATATATGTATATGAAAGACAGAGAACTAACACGAGAGAGAAGAAAATCGAACTATTGAAAAAGGATTCATCGGATCGATGAGACTTTGGTTGAAACGACTCGCTGACAACTAGCTTTCCTACACGGTTTGCAATGAACGAATGACGAACAGGTTCCCCAAACCTTCGTCAGCTGGCAACGAAGGGAATCGTCTAGTCCATCGCACCATCGGTGATTTCTAAGAGAAATTAAAAGAATGATCGCTTGGCCATCGAGTGACTAATTGTCGTTGAACCATCGTCGAGGAATACTCCATTTAACCGACAACGACAGTCCAAGCCGAAATCTTAAAGCTTTAGTTGACGAGGAGAACCATGCGCATAGGCGCAGCGTGTACTCGACGACGGTGCAGTGATTTTTCAACATCCACGCGGAAGCATTATTTTCTTTTCTTTTGTTTAAACACAACGTTGTTGTCTCTTTCGCGTCACAGCTAGTGTTTCGTTAGTTCCCTTTCTCTCTCAGGCTCGCGAAAGAGAGTCGACCGAATCGAGTCGTAACGAATCGTACTAAAGATTATACGCTTTCTCGGGATACGCTGCCGCGGCCAGGAGGGTACGCGTTTCGTTAATCGTATTACGAACAGTATTGATAATCCGAGAGTTAACAAAAAGACTGCCAGCCAAGACGAGACAGAGCAAGCAAAGGAACAAGGTAGAAGACGAACTGAAATTCGTCCGCGTGTACGAGGAATCGATGTTCGCTGAAAAACAAGAACGGACGTTTTGTTGACTAGAGAGTGTGTATATTAAAAATGTACAGACGCAAGGAGATGAAATGGAAAATGTGTACGTACAAGAGGTATACTCTGAAAAAGTAAAAGGATCGTCTGATATGCGCGCGTCTTACACGTATGCGTTGCGAACGATAACGTTTCTCCCGTTTCTACTCCCAACGGAATGCTCAACGACGATACGATCCGTGTATTTTGTCAGTTTTCGCGCGCAGGGATTAGTCGCGTGACTATGAGTGTTCTTTGTTGAAAAATAAATAGTTTTTACTTCTTTGCGCTCGATGACATTTTCGCTAGGACGAATGAGTAACTCCAGACGATTTTTTGAAATATTTGAACAACTTTTTATAGCTAACATGAAATGATGTTATAAACAAATTAGCGTATACAAATACAATATTTTAATATTTTACGTATCTTTATATCTTAACGAACAAGAGTTCTTAATATGTATTAAGCTCTGTAGTTTTCTTTGGATGGTAATTTATGAAACACAAATCAGAATCAGAATTCATCTTAACTCAAACTGACTTCACTGTAGAAACCCACTTTTAGATGTGTATATTCAAAACAATAAAGATTTTTAAAATAACTTTGTGCTACAATCGTTACATGTAAGCTAACGGTGGAGACATTGTCAAAAAAAAAAAAAAATATATATATATATATATATATATAGAACCTAGATTGTAGAACCTTTGTAGGTTTGTACACAAATCGTGAGCTATTTTTTGGAGTTAATTGTGACACAGAAATAATTGTCAGAGAGTATTAATTAACGAGAATTTTGAAATTCTTTCACGGAGATCCGTTCCTGCGCGTGAAAACCTCGATCATTTGGGCACTGTCGTCGAAATGTTTTCACGAAGAGGCATGCACTCGCAACTATCATCCCCCAAAACTCACCCCTTTTCAAAGTCACACCCGACGTTCATCCAACAAGGTTACAAATTGGGGATCTTCCCACGAACAGAAATTTTAACAGGAATTTATATTTTTATTCGCTTCTGAAGTATTTAAAAAACGACATTGCTACTTCCTTTTTCTGCATTCAAAATCTGAACAAAATATTTCAACATTCTGAACAGTTCCATTGATTCCTCAATAATGTGAACAATATTCTTCCTCTTTTTATTATACGCGCATCCCATAATTTCGAATTTCATTAATCGTAACGTCGGGGTGACTTTTCCTCGAGCAGACAGGAGACACGACAAGCTTAGAAAAGACACGAGAAATGCGTTTATTTTCGACGGTAACGATTAACTACGTAGCTATTAGAACCGCGTATCTACACCCCAAAGAAGAATGGGACGTGTATGCGTGCGAGCGTGTGCCTGTGTGCGACGCGCTGGGTGCCTTTAGAATTTCCCCGAAACTTGTAGGACCGTGCCTTAGCGACAATAACCGTGCAGATTGTCTACGAACTTTTTGTAACCTAGCAAAATCGAGATAGAAAAATGCAGCCTAAACGAACGCGATCGTAAAAAGCTAGTGCCTTAAAATAAAAATTTAAAGAAACTGCGACTGCGATTCTTTGTCGACAAAGGAATTTTTGACTCGAATAAAATTATCAGTCTAAATGCTATTCATCGGGAAATTAGAGTTGGACTCATGATTGACGAGGATCCTTCGTTTCTGAACATATCTGTATCCTGCAAATTAGCACCAGGAGTAATGTACGAAATTCGTTTGTCTTTCAAAACTCGCTTTGTACGTATTTATCAGCAATCAATTTGTTTTCGATGATTTATCTGCGAGAATGTCGCAGTAGGTGCCATAGACGTAACGATTTATCATTTGCGTAGACAAGGTTCAGCGATAATCGTGCCAATTTGTACCATGTTGGTTTTTTACAGGCGTAACGATCTACCGGTGTACAAATCTCAGCGAAAGCATTGCTAGTAGAATCTCGACAGTTGCTCTTGCAAGTATCGAGGTTCGTGCAATTATCGGGGCAACCAGTTTAGTAAGAATTCCACTTAACGTCGGTGTTATTTATGATTACTATTATTTGTACCTAACGTTGTCAGCTTCACTCGTTGCCGAGTGATCATTTTCGATTAGTCAATACTGTGCAACAAACGGCTTTTTCATGCAGCGACTGTTACTCAACCCAATAAGAGGAAACTTCATTTTGCCAATATTTCTTTATCACCGATGGCTACTATTCCTAACACTTCAATAAGTAACATTCTCATACACTGGTTCAAGCATCCAATTCAATAAGAGAGAATTCCATTTTCCTCGTATGTCTGGTATCACTTCTAGTCGCTAATATACGTTCGTTCTAGATTCAATTTCACTCAATGCTAAGCGAGCATCTTCTATATATCAACGTATTGCAGCGAAGTAATGTTTTCATATAATGACTGACCAAGATACCCGATCGAATAAGTAGGAACTCTACTTTCCTGGCATACTTTCATCACTTACGGTTGCTATTATACAATGTCCGTTCCAGCTTCTCGCGATCGACTGTATTGTCATCAGGAAAGATTGAGAAAGGACATGGTAGCATGAGTAAATATAATCATGCCGATGTCGATTAATTCTTCCTTCATCGTAGGCCTTACGTAGCTGATCAATCCAATTAACCCAAACGGAATTTCTTCCACTATTGACCTTTCTTATCTCTTAGGAAACTACTTCTCAGTAAAACTTGTCAAACATCAGGTTTTTACGTCTACAGCAAATGTATACAAGTTGGTAATGTTGGCTTGTAATTATTTCTGCCTACCTAAGCACTATCTTCGACACCGATAAAAAATAGTTGCCTGCAGAAGAGTAGATCTTGGTTATTTCTAAGCTGGTGGCTTTCTTCGATATAAACAGAAATTATTTTCAATGGTTGCACAACTTGTGTCATCTCATAGTAGATTTATCGTACCTATGGTTCATGATCCCTTTTGATCATAGTTCAAAGCGCCTAGTACTGTCAACCAACGCAACCACGTCGCACGGCTGGTCGCCTAACACACTTTAAAATTACCATTCGAACGGTAAGACTGATTATATTTGCATCACTTTTCACAATAAATCGTTACGTCTGTGGTACTTGTTATCAACGAAGACGGGCAAACGATTCCATGAATCAATGCTCAGCTCGACGACCGTAATTGGCTGCAAAATCCAGATATCTTGGCCCCAATTAAGATACGTGCCATTTTTCGATGCTGGTTCGGTGATTGAAACTCGAAAGCAATTTCGATAGAATATCGAATTGTGGGTGGGACAGGAAATTCAACTGAAGACTTTCCGGCGATGATCATTTGATCATATTTGGGATTTGTGATTTCACTAAACCCGGTTGTTTTGATATCTTGGAAACGTAGGAATACAGGCTAACAAATATAAAGTAATTTGTCTTCGACAAGTAAATTTTATAAAAGGGTTTCAAACCACCAAGCACGTAGAGGTCCCTTCTATTTAGAACAGATCCGAATAGATACCAGTGAGTTTCGTTGGAAAACTTGGCATCGGGTAAAGTCGATGGAGGCAGTATAGTGAACTCTTGAGTATGAAATTAGGAATACGAAATTCCGTATTGGTTACCGAACATGGGCGGTATTAAAGTAGACAGAGAAATAGTATCTTTGTTCGTTCTATTGTTCTTCTTCTTTTGATTCATTTTATTGCGTAGACATTTCATAGCGTCTGTATCTCTTCCACGGACTATACGTCAGTATCATTCCAATAGCGGAGGTGCGCGTGTAATAAGGTCGACTCGACTCGAGTCGAGGCAAAATCGATTGGCCGCTAAGGCCTTTGAGAAGGGCTGTCCCCACCACTCTGTCTTTTACTTTTGCGAAAACACGTTTATAGTCTCTCCGAGAGGGGAGCTAAGTCGACTAAGTTGACTCGCTTCGAAGTTATCCGTAAAGCATCTTTATTCTCGTAATCATGCAAAGTGGATCTCGATGTGTTTCGTCTGATCAATCATCTTCTTCGATAATTGAGAAGGCACGTATGCAACAATAGTGTTTCCAACTAGTCATTATTCACAGGCAAACTGATCAATAGTACTTGTTTAACTTCAGCTAAATTTTAAGTGATAAAATAAAAACTAGGGTCGGAACTAGTCTCGTCGGAGCCTAAAGCTACGTATTTCGAGAAAAAATTACTTTAAAGGACTTTTTCTATTGAAATGTGAAATGTTTCATGAAATGCAAATGTTTTTTATATGAATACACTAATGAAACCTCTAGACGCTAGCAATACGTTTGCAAATATTAAGTTTTAAATAATAAAATTAGAAAGAAATTAAGATTTATCTATAAAGACCAAAAAGTGAAGATTCTTTCTATGCTTTTGAATCGTAATTAAATTAAAACAGAAGAGTAGCGAGTTATTAAGCAATATTTCTAAACGTGAGGCGCGAAGCTATAGCTTGGTTAATTTTACAATAGATCCGCTCTGATTAAAACACTCTTTGTGTCATCGATTCCCGTTACACTCTACTATACGAAGTTGATCAGTTGCCTCATATTTTTGATGATTCAAAACGAAGTTTATTCGACTCTCTGAGAGGTTTCGATTGCGACAATAAACGTAGATCGGGAAACACTGTAAATTTCTAACAGAGGGTTAACAGTGACGCGAACAAACGGAACATCCGACTCGCAGCTATCTGCAGCAATGCTCTCGATTCCGCCATGGCGTCGAGTCGCATCCTACGTGTCTCAGAGTGGGGTAGATGATCTCGAGCGGCCGATGAATTTTGTTCCAACCGTGGTCGTGGATCCTGTCGCGTGGTCGAGTAAGAGGCTCCGATCGATTTCTGGATCGATTCCGGAGGTGTCCAGTGTCTCGTTGTTCCCCAGTTGAGACGAAAGACGACACCGCGGCGTAAACAAAAGAAAAACGAGCGAAAATCGCGAACGGCCGGCATGGACAGGGATGGGAGCGTGCGTGGAAGCTGCTTGGGAAGACGGAGGGAGGAGGCCAGCCATTTTAAACGAGTGCCATAAACCGCGATAGCAAAATCTCTCTCGGGCCTACCGTTGTGTATACCTTTTTACTTTTACTGTTAAGTCCGTGTTGCACGCCGGGGAGGGAGACACGCGATCTGTAAAATATTTATTTCGATCGGAACCGGAAACGGGGAGATCGCGAGAGGATCGAGCGTTCGGAGGGTGAATCAACCTCGACGGGTCATCGCGAGAGGCTCGCGGAAGATCAGAAAATGAGAGATGTCGACGCACAGATGAGTGTGTCACGAGGAGCGACGATGAACTGAGGTTGCCTTATAATTATCGAGCCTATACATATATTATATATATATATATACATAGAAATATATTATTGTGAGATCGTCCAAGACGATTAAGATAAATATAGATTGACGATGCGAGTATGATAGAAATAGAGAGTGTGTGCGAGCGTGTGTGCATGTATACGTGGGAGTGTGTATGGCTGCGTGTGCGCGCGCACGTGTGGGTGATGTGATGTATACCAGTAGAAGACGTACTATTATTTGAAGAAATTAGACAGAATCTATCGTACGGTCATTAGTATTAAAATACCTGCTGTATGGATGTAAGAGAGAAGAAAACTATTATATAATTTTATCTATTATTATTATTATTAATTATTGATTAATATGGTCTATTATTATTATTATTATTATTATTATTATTATTATTATTATTATTATTATTATTATTA